GGCGATGGCGGAGGGCGATGGCGGAGGGCGGTGGCGGAGGGCGGTGGCGGTTGCGGGCGGCGGTGGCGATGGCGGTGGCTGTTGCGGGCGGCGGTGGCGATGGCGATGGCGGTGGCAGTGGCAATGACGATGGCGATGGCGGGCGGCGATGGTGATGGCGATGGCGATGGCAGAGATTATAGAACTAAAAGAGTTCTACAATCTCTGAGAGTCATAAAGAACTACAGAACTGTAGTCACTTAGCAGACAGACATACAGTATAATCTTAGAGATTATAAAACTATAATCACTTAGCGGAGATTATAGAACTATAATCACTTAGCAGACAGACATACAGTACTGCTCGGTGGTTATAGGACTATAAGAGTTCAGGGCAATGAGGATACGCACCCTGCAACCTTTTTTTATCGCTGCTGCCAGCCTCTTGTTGTCAATTTGGAATTTGTTGGGCCCATTTTCTTCGAGGCAAGAAGGAAGCTGAGAAGTGTTTTGCCCGTTAAAACCCACATTTCGGCGAACGAGTCCGGTTCTTCCATCACCCAGCTTGCAAAAATGATCTCGCCATAACATTTGTAGTGCTTCTCCGTCTGCATGTATAGCTTCACTCCGGCAGCTGTGAGACAAACAGCCCACAAGAATAGAAGAAGTTCCGTGGTTTGTTTGGCCGACATGAGAATGTTCTGCACCCAACTGTCCTTTTTCCTCCTCTTCCGTGCCCTGCCTACGTCCTGAACATCCTCGTCTTCCTCTTCAGCCTCAACTTCCTCATCTTCCTCTTCTTCCTCTTCTTCCTCTTCATCCTCTTCTTCCTCTTCTTCCTCTTCTTCCTCTTCCTGATCTTTTTCTTCTTCTTCTTCCTCCTCCTCGTCTTCGTCTCCCCCCACGTCCTCTACTCCCATCGAGTTGTCCTTGTCCTCCTCATCTTCGTCGCATTCCTGTCCGCTGAGCTCCTCTTTGACCCCTGCTTGTTCTTCGGGATCCTTGTTGAATGCATGCGCTGCTGGCCCCTCCTCTCGAAAGTTCGATCTTGGGCGTCCGACACTGCTGCGTGCTTTGCTTCCGCCCGAGGACGTGGTCCGGTCCGGAACAGACTTTGTCAGTCTGTTCTTCATGTTGAGCCTGCAAACAAAGAAGGCAATGACGA